GCTTGGCCTGCTGTGTTCATCCAGCTCTACATCTTGTTATCTCTAGAACTTATCTGAGATGCCTCAAACCCTCTTGCATGAATCTTCTGACAAAAATATTTCCCTTGGAGTTTACCAAATTTCAGGTCTGTTTTCACTTTGGGTTTTTACTTTATCTGTCTTTAGGAAACATTAGAGACCATCGCCATGAACATGTTTCCTTTGAACCATGCGATATCTGTTAATAACGGCATTACCCAGGGGCCACCTGAATATAGGCCATTTTATGACATTAATAGTGTAAGGTACGTCATCGGGATGTAATTAGACAAAAAATGGCATAAACCAAAGAAATATATACTGTATGAGGATGTCTGATTGAAAAACCATGTAAAACAAACAGCTTTAAAGGACTGTTTTAAAAGGGGAGGCAGGAAGGGGCAGACGGGTTTAGGGAGTGAATTCCTAGATCTTAGGATCTCAAAAGCTGAAAACATGACTGCTAATATCATGGCTAAGTAAGCAAGGAGTGAATAATAAGCCAATATTAAAGCAATGCAGAGCTACTGGATTAGTGTCATGATTTTACAGAATAGAAATAGGCCATTCAGCCCGACTGATTTATATTGATATTTATGTGATACAGAGATTGTTAGACACGAGCTTACAGAAAGAGAGGCTGGATTATGGAGTCCAATTAGTTAGTTTTATAGTACTGGTTTCTTGATATTAGAACAAGAATTAGGTGCCTTCCATGAACTTGAATCTGTGGGATCAGAACCTAATTTCCAAATATTATCTTTAAGACCTTTGTAAAATATTTTACATTAAACATTGCATATAAATGAGTTATTTTTACTTAATTCCTGAATTTAAAAAAGTCTTATTTGCAGGTCATTAACCCATTCAGATGTCTTATTGTGGTAAACATTCCTGATGCTTACTTTGAATCAACTAACTATTCCTACCACCTTATAAAACTCTTGCCTATTAATGGACTCATTTACTTTCTAATTCCAACAAAATATTTGCTTGCCTGCCTTTTATCTATTCCAATTTAACGCTGCTACTTACAGAGACCTATAATCATCCAGCTCTCACCAGTTTCTCCAGACTTTAACCTGTGTTTGGAAAGTCAATTATATAATTGAACTACTAACGTTCAATATTCAAATGAATAAATGTTTTTGTGTCCATGATCACACTATTCTGAATTATGTTCATACTTGTATATGATTTTATTATTATGAGCTAGTTTTGGCTGGATTGTTACAACAATTTTGTGTCTTGTGGAAACAAAGTGTTTTATTCTTTCATGCAATGCAAACATCATTGGCAAGGCCAGAATTTGTTTCCCATCCTTAGTTGTCTTGCAGGGTTACTATGATAATTAAACTACTTCTCATCAACAATCCTGTGATTTCAGAGGGCAATTCTGAGGCAACCACACTGCCGTGTACCTAGAGTCACATGTAGGTTCGACAAGGTAGAGATAGCAGAGTCCTTCCCCTAAAGGATGGATGGGGGAAGCAGATGGATTTTTAACAAAATGATAATCAATGCTAAGTTCACCATCACTGAGACTAGCTTTTCCATTTTTTGTTTTATTATTGAAGTCAAATTCCAGCTGCTATGGTAGGATTTGAACAAATGTCCCAAGGGCATTAACTGGGTCTCTGTTATTAATCCACTGACATTAAAGGGAGATGTTGGTGAAAAAATAACCAGGCATCCTACATCTAAAGGAGTACTGTTGCAATAAAGATATTAATTTCACCACAAATGTTTTGAGGATATTTCTCTTCTATAATGCAATATCTTTCTGGGTGACAGAAGTGAAATCCTCACTGTACATATGTGAAAAGGTACAGTACAATATAGCTACAGAAACTACTAAATCATTGATATAATTCACGTAAAGTTTTTATTTATTGACATTTGATCACTGTACAGTAGCCAATGTACCAAGCACACACAGTTTCACAATGGGCTGTTTATATTGAAATTACATGTCTGAGGCACAGATTGCGTTCTTTTTATTAAGGTGCATTAAGAAAATCTGGAGCATTTACAAGTAGGTTATTTTGAAATATTTACATGAACTGCAAGCTGGAAAAACTGTATAGTTCATAATTTACAACTACTGTTGCTGTCGCATGATCTAGTAACTCAGCTGTGGGGATGTTTAACTGCCAAACTAATAGCCATTACAAATTCAGGTTTGCGTGGAGTCAGAGAAAGGAGTTTCAGTAGTACACTAATAGGCCCGTTGTCGGGATGCAAAGCAGAAGCAGATCATAACTCTTTTTACAAAAAACATAGTTAACACTGTCCTTCAAAAATATAATTTCTATTGGTTAAGCACAGAGACCAATACATCTCTGATTGGCAGCAGTAAGGAGCATGGGGGCAACCAGTAGTCTCGTCAGTCGATGCAACCGATAACAATTTCAAAGTGGTTTTGATCCTGATGTCATTGACATGATCACACCACAAAAACCAAAAAAAAAATTAATACCAAACTGTATTGAAAAGCCTCCAAAGCACCACAAATGGAATAACAAAAAATTCAAAGATTACAAACTGTCCTGTCAGTTAACTTTTTCTACTAGCATCATTGTAATTGAATCGCTTTGGCAAGAACTAAATGCTCCTCTTAACCAGTTGCCTGGTTAAGCATTTTAAAAAGTCCCTCTACGAAAGGGAAGCTCGTTGCTTATCCGCACAGAAACTTCTGCACGTATCAATTTCTGAAAAGAAAACTTTTACTGGCTGAGCATTGGAGGATGCATAGATAATCGGCAAATGCAATCTATAGCTCACACCCTTCCAACAGGTTGTGCAGGGAAAACCATTCTTCCCAAGAATTCCAAACTGCCTCTTGATGCACAGGCCACCATTTCCTCAGAAAGGAAAAAATGTAAATGAAAACATTTAGAGAGCAACAAGCAAAGCATGATGTTTGGCCTAGCACTAATGACACATCAAACCAGAATGTGGAGTCTTTCAAAAACCTGTCTCTCAGCCTGACAACTTATGCACAGTAAAATATGAGATATTTTTCAGGTGTATGAGATAACCCTTTATTCACAGACCTTGCTTGAAAGAAGTCAGATCAAGACTTAACTGAAAATAATTGCAGATTTACTGATAGAGTTTTTAATAGAATCTGAAGCATGCAGTAGATGTTGTGAAATGACGCAGAAGGGAGGGAGGGCTTCAGATTCCCAAAGCATTGAGACCAATTTGGATATGAGCGTCTTGCAGAAAAAAAAACAGGTTGCATCTAATCAGGGTTGGGATAATTATCCACAAAAGGAAGGTTAGTTTGTGTCGTGGGGTAAAGTCTTAAAACTTTATGGACAGGAAGAGGAAAATCAGGGCAAAGTGTCAAAGAAACAAGAAGCATTTACAACTGGTAAAAATAAACAGCATTAAAACATAAATTATAATTCAGAAAAGGAGGAATCAAATAGGAGAGAAATGCAAAGTAGACAACTGCAGGATTACATAAATACAGGGATTGAGAAATAAGGTTGGTAAACTCCATGCACAACTTGTCAGATAGAGATATGATGAGTGGCAATATGGAAGTCTTTCTCAATTAAGGAAATTGGAAGCTTCACATTCCGGCTACGAAAGTGAAACTTATCTGCACAGTACCTTCCTGGTCTCTGCTTCACAGAAGCATCTACATGTGACCATTTCATATACTCAAGAGGGATTGAGAAGGAAAAAATATAGGATGGCAAAAATGGTATGACTAGAAAATGTTGTAGTTCTGGGAAGGATGATGTGCTAGACGATTTAAGAACAGCATTTTTTTGGGTGTATCCTGTAGAACAACAGATACTGGGGAAGAGATAGAGGAGTAAATCTGCAGTAAATTTCAGCAAAGTTAAAAATATTATAAGTAGTAATAGTTGGGAACTTCAGTTATCGAAGTACAAATGAGAAAAATAAAATCAAAGTGGGGAATGAGTAAAATCGTAGGGAGCTCCTGCAGATTGGTTTCCCAGCTACAAGGAGGTGGGAAGCCAATTTGAATAAGTATAGGCCATTTCCAGCTGATTGAGGGCAGCCACCCAGTTGTAGCGTGGTGGGGGTTGTTCTTTAGAACCTTAGAGGGAGCCATGGGCAGTCTCCACTATTTCTTCAAAGGCGTTTCCTTGAATCATCAAACATTTTTAAAACTATTTTTCAGAGTACCTCCTCAATGCTGCAAGGCTCCTGCGTTGCCTTCTCATGGTCACAATTCCTGATTGTGGGCTGTTGTGATTCCAGTTGGGCTCAGAAACCACTTATGAGCTGTTGCCCATAAAATTAGGAGAAAGGTTTCATTGGCTACCTATGAATGCATTTCTGATCGATGTGAGGATCTCTATTGTATTGGTAAAATCATGCCCTTTAAATCTGCTCCTCTCTCCACAGATGCTGAGTTTTTCCAGGATTTGTTGTTCTTATTTCTCATTTCCAGCATTTTGTTTTTTGAATCAAATGAATAGTCAAGGTGAAGAGGACTAATTTAAGTGAGCTCGATCAGGAGACAGGAAGCCAATATTGGCAAAAGTAAAACACTTAGTAAACAGTGGAATGCACGCAAAGTCATGGTACAGTTAAGATATTATATACATGAGAGAAAGAAAGGGTATCCAAATCAGACTGTAATAAAACTGATTAAAATGTAAATAAGAGATTTATAATGAGCAACAAATCCATAAAATAAGAATATTAAGCAGAATGCAAAACGTGCAGAAAATAATTGCCAAGAAAATAAAACTGTACTAGAATAGAGTTCTTCAGCTGTGCAACTTTCTGGTTACACCACATTTCTGGCCACCATACTGTGATATATATCACTTCGAGCAATGAGGCATAAATTTATTGGAATGATACTGGAAAGTTAAATTACGAGGAAAGATTGCACATATCAGTCTCCAAATTCCAAAAGAATCCATATGGGTGATTTGATTAATGTTTTCAAAATATTAAGGGGAATAGATACAATAGATAAAATCTAAGATGGGGACCATAGTCTAAAGTTTAGAGACAAACTTTTCAGAAGTGAATTAGGAAAGAGACACTGGTAGAACTTTGGAACTTTGTTCTGCAAATGGCAATTGATGCTGGATTAATTGTTAAGTCTTAAACCTGACATTGACTGATGAGCAAAAAATCTGTTAAAGCATAGTAAATGAAGATAGAACCATTGGTGTTTCCCAAAGAAATGCATTCCTGCAACAGGATGCCAAACTACTAAATTAGTTTATATGATAAACCATCTACTATTCAAAAGTGGGTGACAGATGTGATCAATGAACTACGTAAAGGCCTTAGCTAAGAGATAATTTTCTTATTTGCCAAAGTAGGAAGTCAAGGGCAAGTAACTTGGAAGCACAAGGTGCAACCTAAGGCTCTTGGTTAGTTTAAAACTGCAGTATAATATAGATTCCAAATCCCCATCTCAAAGACTATTTGTAGCTGCTATTTTAGAGTGCGGCATTACAATATTCTGTTGTTCACTTTATTAAAGTATGTCACAGTAAGGGACTGTTCACATTCAGTACCAATACCACATTTAATCTGGAATACATCATATGTTTAAAACACCTAACCCAAACTTCGCACATTTAAGCGAGTATTTCAATATTTTTAACAAGATGATTTGCAACCTATGTAGCAATACACAGAATAATGTGGTTACACTGGTCAGGTAGAAGGGGGCTTGATCCAGTGAGCAGATATCTGACAACAGAAAACAAAGCTGATACAGATACAAAGTGTTCCTTTCTTCCTGGGAATTGGAGTATATGAAGAAAAAACAAATTTCAAGAAATAGAAATCTGAAATAATGAAATATCTGGAAAAATACTGCATCTTTGACAAATTGTTAACTAGTCAGATACTGACTAATTTCCAGCATTTTCTGTTAAAAACTCTTGGGCTGGAACTGAATGCTGCCAGCTGCTGTATGAAATGCAACTACTAATGTCAATCTCTGAGATACGAAGATGGACAATTTATATCAACACTGATCAACTATGACTTGCCTGCATTATCTCATATCTTATTAACTAGACAACAAGCTTCAGTTAAGATCAGACCTTCACTGAAATTAAGAAAGTCACATTCTCCTCTCCCTATGCATTACAGGGCTCATATTCCCCTTCATAGTTTCCTCTTTACATTTTTAAAAATATATTTACAAGTACAATATACAAAACTTTCTGACATTCCCTGAGAAGACACCAAGAAATAAGAAAATCTATAGTCAAAGTCAAGGAATTTGCTGACTATCATCAGAAATGCAGTGTTAGGGAGGTCTCAAGGCCTTTAAAAGTGGCCCAATGTCCTGTATCCAGGAAGATAAAGCAGCAGCAAACACAGCATGCGCGCATGCACACATACACACACACATATATATCAAATCAATACACAGTATGGCAGACACTCACAGACAAGTGCAAAGGATAACAATGAACAGTGATTAATCTAGTTACAGTAAGCATAGTCCAGTTGGGTGAGGAACTAAATACTTATAGATACAGACACTAGGAACTGACGACTTCAAAAACAACCTGAAATATTGCCAAAGGCTTTAGTCCAAGAAGATTTTTCTAATTCTGACTCGATAGCTACACCAGCTTGAACATGAAATGGTTTTAACATCAAGAATAAAAATATCTAAGCAGCAAAACTCCCCTCCTCACAAAGTGAATTATCTCAGTTCTGGAATTAGTGTTGACCAACTCATTTTCCCGAGTTCGTAGTCCTCATCCTCCAGGCCAGTGAAGCTAATGTCCAGGAATATTTTACTAAGACTGTCATTGAGAGTGTCCAAGACCAAGCCTTCAGTCAAAGACTTGTTTGCTTTGGTGTTACAGTTTGTATTTATCTGAAGTTCTCGAGAACATCTTCTGGAATTGCCCTCTGAAAGAGGGGAGGATCCTGTGTCAGGCGCAAGATCATTAACTGGGGAGTTCAAGAGCTCGCGTGGTGACTCAAAGAGAGCAAAGTCCTTAAATGGTGTACTACTAAAACTCAGGTTGCCTGTGTTATTACGCAATGGTGTTAGGAAGGAACCACATGGTGTCCTCACAGGACTGAACTCAAATAGGCTGTCGTCTTTTTTCAAAGGGGTCAGTGCAATCTTCCAGCTGTTTGCTACAGTGACTGGAGAGCTCTCACTGGTGCCTTTACTGGGGGTGGAGGAGGCAGGCAGATCATGGGGCTTCTCTTTAATGGGTGTTTTGAAGTTATAATCTATGCTGGTGTTGGCAAAATCTGAGCATTGCTCCAGGGTTCTGGATTCATTGAAACCAGACACAAAACCCAAATCTGGTCCACTCTCTGCTATGGGCTCACTGGCTTCTGGGAACAGAAGAACAGGCTCCTCAACAGGCTGAAGAACATGCCTCTGTTTTCGTCTGGAACTGCTCTCCTTGGAGACCTCGCAGGCTTTTGCTGTTGCAGAATTCTCTTGAATATCAGTAACTGGAGGGATTGTTGGAATCAGCATCAATTTCTCAGAATCCTTTATTGAGGTTACAGGATGATTACAACTCAGACTCTCATTTGGAACCTTAAAAAAAACATAAAAGACTAAATACTTTGAAATCATCCACATTCAAGAACAGTGTTAAATCTTTTCGTGAAAAATAAGATCTTGCTTTACATTTTCATTTTTAATGTAAATAAACATCTCAGCACACTTCACAGGTATAATCAGATAAAAATTAACATTGAGCCAGAGGTGGGTTAATGGGGGAAGCTGAAGGTAGTGTCCATTATTTGGTGTTAAGGTGAATTTTAAAGCTGCAAACATAGAATTTTAGAGGGAGAGGACTAGGTGGTTGAAAACGCAGTGTGATAGTCCATGTGCCTGTGGGGCAAAAAATGCCCTGTTTTACACTGGGATAATTGTCCCTTCAAGAACTAGATTTCTTGATAAGGTTTCCTGTATCAAAAGAGTGGGAGGAGAGCAAGATTGAGCGAAAGCAGGAAGAGAAAGAGATAAGCGAGAGGTGACATACAGTGAGTGCGTGACAGCAGGAGAAGAGAGAGATAGACAGCAGCAAAAGAAAGACATAGAGAGGGAGAGAGAGAGAGATACAGAGCAGGAGAGAGAGTTAAGAAAATATTAGTTGGCAAGAGAAAAGTTTAGGGTAAAGGAAAAAGAAGAGATCATAGTTCAAAGGAGAGTTCTGATTCCACTGCGAAATTTGATTCAAGTAAAAATCTTAATTTAACATGCCTAAATGTACAGAGATGAAGGATATTTCACTCCATTTGGAAAGTTGGCTACGAAGTTGAAGTGGCTAAAAGATGCTTAGTGTTTAATATTGCAGAATGCCCTAACAGGTACAGCTAAAAATGTGAACAGCAGTCTGGTCCCTGAAGCTCAATGTAAATTTACGACTATAAAGAAACCTAATCTAATCAGACATTTGTAGAGTATGCATGACAGAAAGAAATGCTGTAGGATCGGTGGTTTTAATGATTGGAGAAGAATTGTGTGTGTGAGGGAAATCATGATTACGGAAAATTCCCAAAATAGTATTTGAGCAACCTTGTGGACTTGTTTAGAGAAGTGTGATGTCAAAAATCCAAAGAGCAGCTGCTCTGGCGGTCAGCCACGATATCTCACACATTTGGGAAATTACCAAATGGGAATCAACAAGGAATCAGAGGAATAGAAAATATGGGTTGGAAACTGTATTAGTTTTAGGGAATAAATGGAAGGACACCAAAATAAGAAAATGAGAAAGGTTAAAACTAAGAATTGATGTCAATTAAAGAATTTGCTTCCAATGTAATAAGACTGGACATATTGAAGCTAATTGCTAGAAATTAAATGGGAGACCTATGTAATTGTAGAAATGGCTAAGGAATTCTAAAAATACTGGGTATTAAAGCTGTAGCAGTGGTACAGATGACACATGCTCCCTCGGAGCCTACTAGGAATTGTGATGTGGCTCAGGATAGTCAAGAATTTTTCCTTGATTATGCTAGAAAATGTCAAATTACTGGAATTTCTGGATATTTTACCTAGAATAAAGTGTTCCCTGGGTTTCCCAACAAAATAAGTAAACTAAATTACAGAAAAGTTTTTTTTTTGTAGAAGCATCCTTATGTCTCTGATCAGTAAGGCAAATTATAAAGATTGCACCATTTCATTTTCTGTATTTTTGAGTATGGACTAAAATTGAAAAAAATCTGTTTTAAAAACAAGCATTGTTGACTGAGTTGTTCACTTTTGAAACAAGTTACTGAAACTCATTATGTGTGGTGTTGACACTACTCCTTTGTTCAAGTGGCACGGTGGCTCAGTGGTTAGCACTACTGCCTCACGGCGCCAGGGTCCTGGGTTCGATTCCACCCTTGGGTGACTGTCTGTGTGGAGTCTGCACATCTCCCCCGTGTCTGTGTGGGTTTCCCCTGGGTGCTCCGGTTTCCTCCCACAGTCCAAAAGATGTGCAGGCTAGGTGGATTGGCCATGGGGAATTGCCCCGTAGTGTTCAGGGACGTGTAGATTAGGTGGGTTATGTAGGGGGTTAGATCTGGGTGGGATGCTCTGAGGGTTGGTATGGACTTGTTGGGCTGAAGGGCCAGTTTCCACACTGTAGGGATTCTATGATTGAAGTGGAGGGGTGAAAGGGAGAAGGATGTTTAAAGGCTGTATGGAACCAGTGAGATATGGATGCTAACAAGTTTCTCATTGGTTTGTGCAATTGTGACCAACCATGGGTGCCAAAGGTCATCAGCCTGACAACAACCCCCCTGATTGGCTCCTTAGCATATGAACAGCTTGTGGGTGTGAGGAGACTTTGGACTGTTGAATGGGAGGTTGTGTGTGTGTGTGTGTGTGTCTCTCCCTTTGGAATAAAATATCTGAAGCCTGACAAGAGCCAGTTATTTTCTCTAGTTGCTGGAAGCTGTTGCTTTTGATCAGTAACTAAGAGACTTTGTAGTGAGTCTACCAATCACCCTGTGCCTCCAGCAACGAGGTGAAAGAACCCAGAGAAAGGACATTAAAGAACAGAAAGTCATGGCAAGCCAAAGGAACATCTCAGTGAACCCTGTGAACTAGTGCTATGGAACGGCGTTTCACATTTTGTCACTCTGCCAATCAACCAATGTTGCAGGGCTTTATTAATAACATCTTCGAAAACGCCAACAAATTCGTCAAACATGATTTACGATTTGCAAATCCATTGCTGACAATGCCAATCAGATCATTATCAGCTGGATCTATTTATTGTATCCTTTACAAAAGATTCTAGCATTTTCTCTACTACTAATGCAAAGCTAACAGGTTTGAGTTTATCTGTTTTCTTTCTCATTCCCTCCTCAAATAGTATGGTGACATTTACTACCTTGGAAGCTGCGGGAATCATTCCAGAATCTGTTGAATTTTGGAAGATAATCACTAATGCATTGGCTATCTCAGTAGCCACCTCCTTCAACACTCTGGTGTGTAGGCTATTAGGTTCTAGGGATTTATCAACTTTCATCCCATCAAGTTCTCATTTTTATGTTATCTATGAAAACGTTTACTTCCCATTTTAAGCTTTTACCAGATCACATTCATATTCTATTCTCCATTACCTTTCCAGTTTCTTGGTATTCTGTTATTGCATTCTATAAACCTCAAAATTGTTGTTATTGTTGGCAACTTTGTAAGCTTTTTCTTTTAGTCTTAAACAATTCTGAACTTGCTTTGTAAGGCACAGTTGACTGACTTTTTTGAGGTTTTGCAGTTTGAAGGAATGTATCGTTACTGCAAGTCATGTCATAAATCTTTAAAGACTATCCATTTGTATGTACAGTCATGCCTTTTAATGTATTTTCCCAGTCCACCTCAGTAAATTTGTGCTTCGCACCTTCATAATTTCCCTTATTCAAATTTCACACCCTTGTTTCAGAATGAACTACCTCACTTTCAAACATAATGTAAAATTGTATTATATTTTGGCCACTAATCTCAGATTCCTTTGCAAGATTATTAATTAGCCTGTTTTCATTACATAATATTAAATCTAAAATGGCAGTCCTCTAGTTGGCTCAATATACTGCTCCAGAAAACCATCCCTAAAACACTCCAGAAACTTGTCCTCCACAGCTTTGGTACTCAGTTGGTTTATCCAGTCCATATGCAGATTGAAGTCACCCATGATAACTGTTGCCCAAGCTAAAGACTTTTCTTATCTCTTGATTAATACCAGGCCCCACACTACCACTACAATTTGATGACCTATAAACAACTCCAACAATGTCTGCTGCCAACTACTGTTTCTTAGTTCCACCAAAACAAATTCCACATATTGTTCTTCAACGCAAGATCCTTCCTTACTAATGTACTGATTCTATCTCTGGTTATCATAGCAACTCCAACTCCTTTTCTTTCTTGTCCATCCTTCTTAAATGTCAAATATTCTTGAAATCTTCAGATCCCAGTCTTGGTCTCATGCAGTCATGTTTCTGTAATGGCAATTAGATCATTCCCATGTATTTCTATTTGTGCATCTAGGTTGTCTACCTTGTTGCAAATGCTGTGTGCATTCAGGTGGGAATGGCTATGGCTGACATGATGATTGCTTGAGTGCCCCAGAAGAATGAGCCATAGTAGAATGAAAATTACCTTTGGTGCAATCCGAACACGCTTGCGCTTCCTGGCCAACTCGCTACTGCTGCTAGTTGAGGAACGGTGCCCCTGGATTGTTGGTAGGGTGATGTGAGGAGATGGCTGCAGGATGAGGGAGGAGTTGACCGGCAACTGAATGGGTACCAGGTAGGAGTCAGTCCGAGGCAACAGTGGCTTCATCTTTCTCAGATTAACTTCTGTACAAAAAAGCCATGAAAACAATTTATCCAGTAGGTTTATTGAAGTGTGACTCACCATCTCTGCTCTTGTGTTAAAAGTTATGAGACTTGATCCAATTCAGCTCCAAATCAGAAAATAACAATGGAAGCAGCAACTGAGCTCAAAAGGGTAAGGAACTGAAATGATATAATTAAACTGAAAATTGCAGCACTGAGATGGGGACATGATTTAAACCCAAGAATCCATAAATATTGATTGAAACTTAATTCAAAATAGGTGGTTTGAAGTCATACTAGAAATGCATGAAATCTAGAACAGGAGCTGAACCGCCCACTTCTAGTTTTAACAGAGTTGGAATGAGGGAGTGGATGAAAAATTGATTCTGGGGAAGCAAGTCAGTCATTTAAATATTACAACAATAATTAAATCAGCCATTACTCAATCCAGGTACATTGACAATGGAAAACTATGGTGAAGTGGTAGTGCCCGTACCTCAGAAGGTCTGGATTTAAGTCCCACCTGCCTGGAGATATGTAACATCATGTCTGATCAGGTTCAAAAAAAAATTACAGTGGAAAACGGACCCCTTAAAATAGGTTGGTCTGTTCTATAGAATTTTAGCCTTACATGGGTGTGTGACAAAGCCAAATAAAATGAGGTTAAGTGAAAACAATTCAGCTCTTTAATACAGAGTGAACCAGTGCCAAACATGGCACAGAGCTAATGTCAGATGGTCCTGTCTTTTCAGCAGCTGCATGTACTTCCTCGAATTTAAGCTTACAACATAACACTGAAATCAACGTATGTCAAAAGTTAAGTTCACCTTTATCAGAACTGCTACTTTTTCACGTACCTGTGCTGAGAGCGACATTACTCTTTGGCAGCTCAGCATTGCCAGTTCGCTTTTGTTGCTAAAATTGAACAGATTAAACCAAAAAATATTAAACCATGCATATTTTCATTATCTTGAGATTAGTAAATATGCACTGCACATTCCTTCTGCAGAGCCAGATGACATACAATGATACAGAAACCCTTTCTTAAACTATAAATATTTGATGCTACTGAACATTAATAGTTGAATCCATGGTTTAGGTGCAATCAATTCATTTTATAACATTGCACAAAGTGTTCAATTTACAGGCAGTAATTCATCAAACATCCACTAGCCTATATGTTTGCTTTAATGTATGAAATATAGCCCAAGGAATGTTCCAAATATTTTTCCTGGCTTAATATTATTTTTGCTTCTGTGATCTACACCCTCTGCATCATTTCCATTGTGCTGTCTGGGTCCTTTCCGTAAGATTATATTTCCTGACTTTCATTTGTTTTATTTTGGAATATTTTAACCTGTTATTTCCCTTCTCTTTTTATTCACTTAGCTTCTCTATTAATATTCTTTTCTGTTGATTCTTTCCCACCCATTTGCAGCCTTGATCCTTTCATCTTATCATGTGGCATTTGTATTTCCCAGAGAAGTCAGAGTCAAAAAACAAGCAAAACAATCCTGAGTATGAAGTCAAGATCTACCTGTAAGAATAGATAAAGCATTGTTCAAAGCAACAATGGGACAAAGCCCAGAGTTTAAGGAAATTAATTAATACATTCAGTTTTTAAAATGGGATTCTGTCAACAAAGAGAAATAATAGCTGAAATTATAGATATCCTGGTACAAATATCAACAATAGTAAAGCCTCCTTCTCCCTGGCCCAGCTAAATAGAGATCAGCACAAAAAGGTGACAAGATGCTGCCAAGAGCATATGGGTCTTACTTGTTGACAGACCAGCACAGGCACTGCTTGGATCCAATGGGTTTGGTCAGTTGGGCTGTAATCCGATGACTGCATGAAACGTCAACCAAGAATGAGAAGTGAAGGTTAAAATGCATATATAATTTTTTAAAAATATGTTGACATTGTGTTGGAATGAAGTGCCTCCCAGCAACTTTTTTACTGAGGTAAATAAATGCTGCATTCATACATCTACCTCCTTCTATAAGGAGCATCAAGAAGAACTGATATACAAATCTTTTCAAGTCCTCATGACATCCTTATTGCCTTAGAGCCAATGAAGTTCCTTTGAAGTGTAATTATTGTTATCCTGCAGGTAAATACCATAGAGATTTATGAGAATAGTTTCAGGGATGAAGAACTTCAGGTACTTGGATAGATTGAAAAGCATGAGGTTGTTTTCATTCAAGAAAATTAAGGGGATTTGAAAGAGGTGTTCAAAATAATGAGAGGGTCTGGACTGAGTGGATAGAGAAAAGCTGTTCCCAATGCTCAAAGGATTGAGAACTGGAAGGCACAAATTTAAGGTGCCATTGATTTAACATGTTTAGCAGAAGAACCACCGGTGATATTAGGAAAAATCTTCACGTAGCAAGTGGCTAGGATCGGGAATGGATTGCCTGACAGAGTATATTGAAGAATTAATTACAGCTTTCAAAAGCACCTGAAAGGAAAATATTTACTGGACTACAGGGCAAGGGCAGGGGAGTGGTACGAGTTAACTTGCTTTAGCAGAGAGACGCATGGACATGACTGACTGAATTTTTTTTATATTCATTCGTGGGACATGGGCATCACTAGCTGGCTAGCGTTTATTGCCCATCTCTAGTTGTGCTTGAGAAGGTGGTGGTGAGCTGCCTTCTTAAAATTCTGCAGTCCACATGCTGTAGGTTGACCCACAATAGCCTCAGGGAGGGAATGGCCTCCTTCAGTGATGCAGTCATTCTTTGTTTTGCTTACATCTGTCACGAGGTATTCACACAAAGCCCCATTGATAACAAATCTGGGATATTCAAATTCCAGAAGTATGGAGCATTAAGTTGATATAACAGGAACATGGTCGGAGTAACCTACTTTACCAATTACACCGAACTGGCTTTACAGGTATTATTTGCTTCAAATATATTAGATAATAATAAAATGTGATTTCTTTTTGCAGAGAGGCTGGAGTTGGAAGGAACAGTCAAAATAATCCTGATTATAAAGTCATCTTTGATCTATGTTTGGATGGGTAAGCATGGCTCATAGGAGTATATTAATTAATGGATATTTCTTTAAGTATGGGGGTCAAGCACTTCTTTTTCTGTTCTATTGCAACATAATTAACCTCTACTCTGAATTTTTAATGTCTTAATGTTAAAATTAAAATTCAAAAGGAAGAAGCCGTTCAACTCTTCTCCACAAGATAATAGAGAAAATCTCCAGATATAAATCTGTTATTATTATCCTACATGGTGAAATAATCATTTGACTTCAACAATGCAGAATATAAGACAAAATAATAAAAAAAAACTGTGAAGTGACTATCTGGAATAACTCAATCAGAATATTGAGATGAATAATCTGATATTTATCCAGTTCTTGACTAGTAACCATAAACCTACACAAAGATTTATTTCTTAGAAAATGTACGGAGAACACACCTTAACAACCTGATCCAATGTCAAAAAGCGGTTGGCTTCAGCACGGATTGTCCAGTGTGATATCTTGCCATTATGAGATGTCTGACGTATGAACATATCATGCAGAGACAGGTTGTGCCGAATAGAGTTCTGGAAGAGGGACACACAAGTTAGCTATCATGACAATAATGCTTGTTAACCTGAAATGCTCAATGGTAAATAGTAAAAAACAAAAATTTGCATTTATATAGCACTTACAACGTAACAAAATGTCCCAAAGTGCTTCATAGGGGCATTAATAAAATCTGGCATTAAGAAAATGGTTTTTTGAACATTTTTTTTAAAAAAAAACCTCCTCTTGAAATAGGATACATATTGTTTCCAGCACAACAAAAAACATGATAAGTTATAAAAAAATCAACCAACATAATTCTTCCTCCAGCAACAGTCGCAACATAATTACTTAGGGATGATGTGGCCTTTGCAATTTGCATTTTAGTTGTTTTGGAATCAACCTAAAGCAGAAAAAAAGGGACAGTTTGTTTTATTTCAGTCAGGCGGTAAAGCACACATCAAGTGCTAACATTGTTGAGAACTAACCTGAGATAATCCCACATTTTTTAGTTTTTAAATTTCAGACCTTACAGCACATTTAACCAATACCTTCAAAATTGAAATATTTTGATTTCAAGCCCTTATTAAAGGCAACTTTAATAAATTTGTTAATTTAATTTCATATACCCAGAAAAATCAAGACTCCTAAATCAGTGTTGCATAAATTGTATTGTTAGCAACACATCACAGGAAAGCACAAAGCAGAGATCAGGCAAATATCCATTGGGAGCCCTTCACCTCAGTCAGATCAGGTAAAAACACTATTCTGTCATTCAGGATAAGGACATTAGGCTGGTGAATTGGCAAATTCTTGCTATCACCATTGACCAGAAACAAAACTGGGCCAACCATATAAATGTTGGGGATACAACAGCAGGTCAGAAGCTGTGTATCCTAAAACAAATAACTCATCTCCTAACTCCCTAAAGCCTGTCAACCATCTAGAAGACACGTGTTAGAATGTAACAGAATACTTTCCACTTGCCTGGATAAGTGCAGCCCCAACCATGTTCAAGAAGCTCAACACCATCCAGGTCAAAGCAGCCCACTTGACTGACACCCCATCCACCACCTTAAAGACTTACTCCCTCCTAGAGTGGGAGTCATGTGAATCTGACCTAAGTACTGCAGCAACTAACCAAGGCTGCTTAGACAGAACCTTCCAAACTTCCACTGCTCAAAAGGACAAATAAGTGCAGCAGATGCACAGGGACACCATTGCCTGCAAGCTTCCTCCAAGCCATAAACCATCCTGACTTGACACTATCTTACAGTTACTTCATTATAGCTGGGTCAAAATCTTGGAACTCTCTCCCTAACAATACTGTGGGCGTCCCTACACCAAATGAACTGCAACAACTCAAGAAGGCAACTCATCACCATCTTACTATGGGTAATTAGGGATGTACAACAAATGCTGGTTGTGCAGCAATGCTCATATACCATAACAGTATATAGAAAAAATGAGTCAGTAAAGCACGCCTTCCAATTATGTTAACTACAAACAATAAAATCAGAGGACAATTTAATCACAGCTTAGAACAGAAGGCACACTAAGTAGACTTACCATCATGATAAACATTCTCCACCCTATATATTATTTTTGGTTAAATGTACTGGTTAAGTTCAGTGTGCCTTGCTGATGATTAAATTACATTTTCTTTGTAACTTAACCACTTTACCAGGAAAAATAGAAAAAGATTATGTTTAAATGGTGAGAAACTATTAAATATTGATGTTTACAAAAAATACAAAAGTAACGTATAAGTACAGAAAGCAATTAAGAAGGAAATAGTTCATCAGCTTTTATTGCAAGTGTGCTGAAGTACAAAAGAAAGGGATTTTTACTGCAATCTCAGTAACAAATTCGGGGAGCAGTGTACAGTTTTGCTTTCTGTACTCAAGGAAGCCCGGGTTGGGGGTGGGGGCTGCCGTAAAAGTTTACCATTAATTGAGTTCTTTGTCTTTGAAGAGAGATTGATTAAAACTCTCCAGAGTTGATTAAAAATGGAAGGCTATATCATTGAAACACGCCCGATTTTGAATGAGGGACAGTCTCAAAATAGATTATTCTGGAGAAATGTCTTCGTCCAGAATCCTTGCAATTCTCTACCATAGCGGTTTGTAAATGCTCAAATTGTTGAGGTTAATGGACATGGGATCAGACAGTAAAGTTAGTTATGGTGGTTCTGAGGAAGGATCACCGGACCCGAAATTTGAACTTTGTTTTCTCCTTCATAATGCTGCCAGACCTGCTGTGCTTTTCCAGCAACTTTGTTTTTGTTCCTGATTTACAGCATCCGCAGTTCTTTTGGTTTTTAGTTATGGCGGTGGTCACTCATGAATTTTTACAATGCTATAGCAGCCCTGAGTGGCCTTTTGATTTACTCCTTCACCTGTTTCATGAATTTTTACTTTTCATATTTGTTTGCATGGCAGTAAATCCATCTGGACGCAGATATTCTCCAACTCCTTGGGCAATGCAAGATTCTGGCAAGGCAATAGATGCATGCTCTTTGGTCTCAACCTCCCCAAAATGATGTTCTGTGCCCTATGCCCTACACAGCTCAAATTAGGAACTGGTAATAGATTTTAAAAGTAGCAACTGAACTAGATTTCCTCTATCCTGTGATGCATATTAGTGTTGATCCAAAGTTCAGTGGCAACCTTTACATTGCTATCTATTTAGATATTTTCATATTACCTTCCAACCGGGTTTGGCAACATGCTTGAAGTACGGGAAATGATCCTCAATCCAGGTGTAGATTTCCTTCAGAGTCATCCTCTTGCTCTGGGTACTATTTATTGCAAACTGAATCATGGCCATATAGGAGTATGGAGGCCTTTCATGAACAGACTCCAGCTATAATAAGGAGAGGGTCCAAAGTAAACATAAGCAAAATACTGTGGAAAAATATAAAGAAAAGCTCCTTTTTGAAATATATATGCTAGGTGACATAGATTCACACAAGGTCTTTCACACTACTGAATTCTAATGTTAGTCAGGTCAGTCCTAGGACAGCTACAGTAAGGACTGATTCATAGCAGGTCTTCTTTTAGACTGCCCCACCATTTGAACTTGGATAGTGTAAGCTAGTTACATATAGGCAAAGTTAATTTTACTTTCCTTATTTTTAATTAAACCAAGCAAAAGTGGCCCCAATCAAAACAAAGATAAACAGAACATTTGTAAAACCTTCTACACTAATTCCTCATCACTTCTTTCAAATGAATTATTCACCACATTCTATTCACCTCTCGATTCCAAAAACATTGATCTCAGCTTCAACATATCTGGCCCACTCACTCAGAGCTTGATTGTGTACAACCGATTTAAGTTTTAACATGCTACAATTTCTTCATATTACTCCAAGATTTCATTAAAAAACATGAACAGACTGTGGTTCTGCCATAGCTAATTGCCCTGCCTCTTTCCCCTGCCTCCAGTCTCCAATACCCCATACAAAGAATTCTGATTTCTTAGTTTATACAACTGAGTTGATTAGTACAGCTGCCTCTGGCATTAGCAAGTCCATTCCTTACCATCACATTTTCACTATACTCTAATCCCATCCCTCTCCTTTCCAAACTTATCTGTTCAATGATATTTGCCTCCTGCTCCCTTTACATTCTGTGCACCCACTTTTAAAAACTCAGTTACTGTTTCTAGTCCCACTGCCTCCTCTCAATACTTGCATGTAAACTAGATGAATGAAATGACAAATACTTTGAGATGATACAGCTTTTGAAATGCCTCAGGATTGAATACAGACAGGCAGGAACAGCACTCACAGTGGCACTTTCTGGTGGAGGCTCTTGGTTTTCTTTCTCAGCTTCATCTTTCACGCTGCAAGCCCCTAGGCTATCCGTACTCATTTTACCCAGCCATTGAATGTTGGTCAGACTGTCGTTCAGGAGAAGGCGCTCAGGAACTGTAGGAGCTAAGAGAAGGAAAATAATGGCAGAGATTTTGCATAGAAAGTAGAAATCTTGCCTGTAGTAGGTCAGCCACTGTAAATCACTTTGAAGCATCTTTCTTGAGGTCAGATTCTGCCATCAGGGCCTATTATGTAGTGCCATAATTCACTGCATCTCAGTTATATATTAGGTTGCAATTCACAAAGTTCAGTCAGTTGTTCCACTTTAACCGGGACACTGACAGCAATTCACCATAAAAACATAGCTTCCTCCTTGCTGATTCTGCAATTGAATCAGTTTGGGGAAATTTGTGTTTGACACCAGTGGAAGCTGTCGCAGAACTCACAATTCCTTACCAGTACCAAAATATCTCAACAATACAGCTGTTTTCAAGGGAGTTCCTGGTCATGCATGACAGTTAAGGGCTACTGTATGACTGCATCATCTTCTAAACTTTTTGACCATGGAATCATCCACATCTGTCAACATTCATTGGTTGCAGAGTTTTACACCTCACTGAATGTTATAAAGGGGCTGTTGTAAAAGGTAAATGGTACCGAATGGGTTAATGTTGGAGACTGCAATAAATTCCACCTAATCTGATGATGTCATATGGACCTGGAAGAGGAGAAGGTAGACCAGCTAAGAATTTTGTAGAATGAAGCCACATTTCTTAGGCCACCTTGTAGTCTTTGTAACAATGTCTAATAAACTAATGTAACTTATACCTGATTGTTATCATGCAACATACTACATCTTGATTAAGTGAAGAGCCTCTTTTTGTTAAGAGGCATTACAGATGTCCTACTTTAACCTTGACCCATTTACCATTAGTTCGCCTGAACGTAAGTTATTGGGGCCTGTAATCCCATTGACTGCCACAAGATGTAGTTTAACATTGTTTACCTGACACAATTTGTGCCATTTTGGCATGGTCTTTCTCACTCTGACTTGAAGCCTCTCTAAGTGCCACACTTCTATTTGAGGTCTGCATCAAGTTGCCTTCATTCATCAGCTCCAGACTGCCTGCATGAATTGTCAATCGTTCTGCTAAAGTTGTTCCGCTGCTGATAGCATCTATATCAGAGACCACCTGACTTTCTGTATTTCTATAATAAATGAGTGTATTCCCTTGGATCCAGTCAAGGAAAGATGATGGTGGTAACAAATACCTCAACATTAAGCTAGTAATGTTTAGCATTGCAGCACATTATTGGCATTATTGCTAATACCACAAGGGAATGATGGTTAGAAACAGCCTACAGACAAACTTGCGGCAACAACAACAAATGAGAAACAGCACTCAATGGCATTTTTCTTCAAGCCTGCTAACAAAAGTGCAGAAGAAAGTGTGAAACAGAAGCTAGTTATATCTGGCAATTACAGTTTCATTAGGGAAACAAAGATCTGTCAGACCAGTCACAATTCGAAGTTCGGCTAGAAAGCAAATGAATTGGAGCTCCACAAGTAAAGTTAAAAATCAATGTTGGGCCAGAGCAAAAACTTCAAGTTAACGGCACAGAACAGACTGAGAAGGCTTGAACTTAAAAAAAATTATTTCCAGCTCACAATAAACTATCACTGCAAGCAGACACCATGAGGCATAACTACAGTAAGGAAATTAAGGGCCACAGAAATAATTTAAAGAGAGGTTGCAGCACCAATAATGTCACAAAGCTAGAATTAACATAAAAAAGGAGAATTTAAAAGCATAAAGTGACTGAGCTTAACAGAAGGAGGTAGTAAGAAGACAAATGAGGGCACAGGAATGAGAATGGGACATTCACAATTTCAGGTGTGAAGAATTTATGAAGACTTCAGGCACCTACTTTAGTTGGGTAAGTTGTGCCAAAGGATGGGCAATTTCTTTTAGCCATGAAAGTTTGGAAATCACCCACTACATCTGTGAAAAATCGGGAAACCTCTATTTTGGCCTGAGAAGGCAGGTAAACCACCAGTTAATACAGAGTTTATATTGCAAAGTTTAAAAGGAAAATGGAACAAGATTACTATGTTGAAGTATTAACAACCTACTTGGGAAAGAGATTAAAATAGCATTGATGCTGCAATATTACAAGCCTTTAAATTTAACAAGTAAGGTAGCATTGCAATACTTTAAAGCTTTTTAACTCTGCAGTAAGAATAAGTAACACGAGGAATAACATTGTGTAGCAAATTTAAATTCAGTGATGAGCTAAATAGAACACAGGATTGGACATCTTGGAGAAAACTGCTATTAAGATACTGATTTGCTTCCAGGTTAGTCATTATCATAGAATTCCTACAGTGTGGAAGCAGGCCATTCAGCCTATTAGGTCCACACTGATGCTCTGAAGAGCATCACACCCAAACCCATGTACCGCACACTATCTCTGTAACTCTATATTTCCCATGGCTCATCCATCTAGCCTGCACATCCCTGAACACTCTGGGCAATTTACCACGGCCAATCCACCTAAACTGCACATCTTTGGATTATGGGAGGAAACCCGAGCACCCGGAGCAAGCCCATGCCGACACGGGGAGAATGTGCAAACTCCACGCAGACAGTTGCTTGAGGCTGGAATCGAACTCGATTCCCTGTGAATCATCGTGTGATTTAATGAATCGCAAATTGAACAAGTAAACACTATATTGTTTTCAATAAGACTTGCAATTGATGACATTATAACTCATCAAGACGTAAAAGAAGGTACAGATACCTTGAAGATGATCTATAACCTTTTGATGATTTTAATTGAAGAACAAACAAAACACTTGGAAAAGAACAGTTCAGATCATCAATGGCCTGCACTTCCATATTTGGCATTACAGTCCACCCTGAATTTTAAGAGAGATTTTGAAGCTTCAAGAGTCCACCTATAAATTTTAAACCCACCTGTTTGGACATGTTATGACACACCTCTGTCCGCTATCACATCCTAAATTGGAACTTGAACGCAGACTTTCTGATCCAGAGGTAGGGGTATCACCCCTGAGCTACAAAACCCACTATGCTGTTATCAATGGTACCTTATAACAAATTCTAAATGTTTAACACCTCTATCTGATCTCTCCTTTACTTTATGAAATTGTTAAATCTGTTAGCTGGGTACTTGAATGGGAATAGTGACAGTCAGTTGGGCTGTTGCTTTGTGGCTTGTTGATAGGTGGGGAAGGAAAGAGAGAGGATGGTTGAGCTATCGACTTTCTCCTTCATAAGATGTTAAATATTGTGGAACTTTTTGTATTCTGTCAAAAAGGCTTATTTATTACTTTAGAGAAAACAATGATATCCCAGCTGTCTCCAATGACGAAACTGATAAATGTCAGATTTCCACTGAAAACAGGTATATGCCTTAAATTCAATAAACACTGAAAAAATTTTAACACCAAACAAAGAGCCCAAAGAAGTTATAGTTTCTGCTTTTGTTTGCTTGAGGACTGGGGCTTATGAATTTGAGCACAGCCACACGTCTTCCCACCACAACAGAGGACTCACAGAATTCCTACAGTGTGGAAGCAGGACATCCAGCTCATTTAGTCCACACCGACCCCCCGAACAGCATCCCACCCAGACGCAACCCCTACCCTTTTCCTGTAAACCTACGTCTCCCATGGCTAATCCACTTAACCTACACATCCCTGGACACTATGGGCAATTTAGCATGGCCAATTCATCTAACTTGCATATCTTTGGATTGTGGGAGGGAACTGGAGCATCCAGAGGAAACCCACACAGATACGAGAGAAAGTGCAAACTCCACACAGATGGTGGATTGGAACTGTGAGGAGGTAGTGCCAACCACCAAGCCACCATGCCGTTCTAGGACCTCCATAGACAAACCTGCGTGCACTTAGAAAAATCAGTTTGACAATTTAAACGCATTCAAGAACATAAGAAAGCCGTTATAAAGTGTAAACTGGAATTATTGACTAGAGCTTAATTGTGTGGATCATTTAAGAATACTAACAAGGAAATGCTAAGTATCAATCCATCTTCTGAGAAGAAATCGTCAGTAAATTATTCATACAATCAGACTGCAAGTGCATGTTATTTTTGTCTTCTTTTGTCATCAGTAGCTGTTCTCAAACTGTCATGATTGTTCAATGATTATTTGAGCACATCAATAACTGTGATGTAATTTGTAATACATAATCTAATTGTCTGGAAGTCATATGCACAGCTAGTAATTCCTTCATAGAGTAGAAATGAAAAGAAAAATTATAAAATACCTCAAGACTAAAAACAAAACCATCTGAAAGAGAGCTGAACACAAAATGCTTCCTGTAAGGTATTTCATCTGAGGAAGATTGTTACTGAATAGTGTTTTGATTAGTGTTCCAACTTCTTCACAGGGGACCATTTCTTACCTGTACCAGCCTCTTGGTCATACAGAGATGAAGGAAATGGTGTTTGAGGGACTTGAAGCGGGAGATCATCCTCCTTTTTGATGCTGATATTACTTATAAAATCTGGTATGGCCACCTTGCCACTTGAGTTAGCAACTGTTAAGCTTGGATCCTCCTGTAATTCCAGGAACTTTTTTCCCCTTTCCAGAAGTGGTGCACAAGGATCATTACTTCCCAAGGACTGGCTCTGGCGGGAGGAGGAAGGTGCATTACCGCTCAAAAGAATAAATTTCTTGGGCCCATTGGAGCCACTCTCTTTTCCCTTTGCCGTGAGTGCTGCTATGATGCTTTGAAGATCTGCATTTTTAGGAATTAACACAACCTGAGTGTTGGGCAGTGAAGGATGGTTTACAATCCGAATCCTCTCAGGGAACTTTTGAGTCTCAATGGCTGTGTGTTTCTGAGAGTTTCCCAGGTCATCCTTTGTTGAACAAGTGCTCTCTGTGTCAAAATCTCTAGTCTCGGGTTTGTGTTTACTCCCATCATTCTTGTCTTCAGGAGGATTCTCCTTTATATCCACCGGATTATTGAAAGTAAGGGGACGTTTCCTCCTTTTCAGAATCAAAGGCCTTCTTGGACTGGCCTTCATTATTGTAAGAGGAGCTTCTTCAGTAGTAGACCACACAGTGCCTGCAACAGTAGAATTCAATTAGAAATTCTCCACATAGCCAAAAATAAAATTAACAAACAATTAACAGATTCAAATGCCAACTGTTAAATTCACAGTTATGGGTTAGCTTTGTTTCGAGTGACAATGACATGCCACTCTTAGGGTGTCGCGGTGGCTCAGTGGTCAGCACTGTTGCCTCACAGTGCCAAGGAACTGAGTTCAATTCCACCCTTGCATGACTGTGCAAACTCCATACAGATATGCATGGGTTTCCTCCGGGTGCTCCGGTTTTCCACCCCACAGTCCAAAGATGCAGAGATTAGGTGGACCCGCTATGTTAAATTGCCCATAGTGTCCAGGAATGTGCAGGCTAGGTGGGATTAGCCATGGGAAATGCAGGGTTACAGGGATAGGGTAGGGAGATAGGTCTGGTTGGCAGTGTCTTCAGAGTGTCTGTGAGGACTTGATTAGCCGAATGGCCTGCTTCCACACAGTGGGGATTCTACGAGATGTAATATTTTGATGAAACAATTTGTTTTTTCTCTGTAACTAATTGGTGTGTAAAGTGAGAAAACAGATTCTTGCACCAATTTGGTGCTGGTCAGAATTCAGATGAACATTATCAATGTTATCAAATTATACCAGAGAAATTGAAAAACAGGAACTCATGACATCCAAATTGTTTGTACCAACTCAGCATTCTCTTCAGTCCTAATTCTTATCTGCACTTCCATTTAGAATATTAAAGTAACAATAATATTAATTTTAATCCGTGCGGACCATCACTGTTGATAAGACTCCAAGTACTCTCAACTTCTTGCACGGGGATTTCAATTTTCAACTGAGCATCACAATCAACATAAATTTCAGAAGATTCATCCTTATAGTGAAATGTCTTATGCATTACCCAACCACTTTCTGATTGTCCCAACACGTATCTACTGGGTTTTCCATAGCATGTGTCCCAGATACGAGATCTTTTGGAAAGTCATATTGTGTCACAAACACGGCCTCTATCTAAGTAGTTATATAGTACATTCCCCATAACTCTTGTGCATCTTTCCTTTTACTGATTTGAAGCTAAGAGGCCTATAGTTTTTTCTTCCTTTTCTAAATATTGCAAGAATGTCAATTTCAAATCCTCAATTCTCACAAACAACTAAGATTTGGGCTGTCAGCTGATGCATTGTTCTATTAATTAAGTGGATAAATAAAAGTGAGCTGAAATGAAAGGATAAATAGAAAATAATGATTTTATGGAAAACATTTGTTAGGCTACAATTAGAAATGCTGTATACAATGTTTGGGTGCTCATTATAGAACAAAAATATACCATTCGGTATATTTCCAATGGTTGGGAAACAATAGTTGAGAGGAAAGAATCGAGTTACTAGAATTAGTTCCATTGAGATGAATGAATGAATGTTTAATAAATTTATTTCCTTGTAAAGCGAGAATGCTGAATGGATACACTGAGGGATGTGAGACCAATAGAGATCAATTAAGACACGAGACTTAATGTCCTGAAGATTTATGTTTTTGAAAGGGACGGTAAGAGGTCTTCGTGGCTTGTTTACCCAGTATCTTCAGCAAAAGAACTGCATAAATGTCCTCTCCGGGACGAAGATCAATCTAATTGACAAACTGAAAGTACGAGTGTACAATGAGAAAGAGACATGATGCTAACTGCAGCTTTGGAGTAAAGGTCAAGTATATTCTCCAGTGTTTCCTCATGACCGATCTTCCGCTGTAAAGCAAGTAACAATGCTATAAACGTTGGATGTACCATAAGATGACTCTTTTAGTAATGGGCATCTGGTCACATTGCCAAGGCGACAGACAGCGTTGGCTGGCGACGAACAAACGGCCGGATGGGGTGAACTCTCAGCTGACACTCGACTCTGGAACCCGAGACCGTTGTTACAGTTTATTTCACCCTGAAGCTAATGCGAATGACCGGGAAGGGATCAGGTACTGATCGGTTTTCGGGACATACTGTACCCCACCCCGGGTCCACGGTCCCTGCTCCCATTCACTCACCGGCATATTACCGGGCTCCGCACGGCGGATCCAGCTACCTCTCCCGGTTCACAATCCCCCACCCTCCCTCGGCGTCTCCTGGTGATCGATATATCAATGGCTCTGTCCCCGCCAGTTCCTGGTTTGGGTAAAGTCAGCGACTCCCTGACCTTGGGCCGGATTTTGCAGCCTCTTTATCCGAGCCCCGGCCCCGGAATCTGCTGAATTTTTTGTTACAGTTTGGAGCTAGTTGGATTTTTTTTGAATTTCCAGCGTTCTGTCAGCACAAACCAATCGAATCATGCCGTTGCGATCAGGTGGCACCGGGGAGTCCAATCAGCGAGCTTAACGCACCTGGTTGGCGGAGACTTTAGAACGCAAATGTACCAATCAGTAGCAGCAGCAAAATGTTACCGTTTGGCGCCGGACAACCAATAAGAGCAGTGCAACCGTTTCCCTCAGCCAATAGGAGGGGCGAAGCGGATCCAGAGCGTGGGGAAAGTGAAAGTAGGATGCCTGAAGCTGGAAAGGGCTATTGAAATTCGCTATCGGAGCAGCAGGTATGTAGTGGATAGTTGGAGTCAGAGACTGGGGTTTTTAAGGAAGGGGAGAGAGCACCTTGTAACTGTATTTAAGGAGATCATAGTTCTAATATAGTGTAACTGGGATGGAGACAATACTGTATGCATGGATCAAGAAAGATTTTGGGTGGTTACAGCTCGATTTAAAATATCGGTCACTACTGTCTCTGAGATAGAATTTAAAGCACAGAAACAACTCTTGTCCTTCAAAAAATAGCTCTCATGTTCTATAATAGTGTTATCTCCTTTTGCTTTATCCCATCCTCCTAATCTTTCCTCCTTCATCTACTTGTCTCCTTAAATGCACTGAATTTGTCGCAGCAAAATAATCTTTACCATATAAGCTTATTCAACATTAGTTTAACACTAAAAGTCTTTTGATTATACATAGTTTGTAAAGTAATGCATTGAGAGATGGAATATTTCATATATCATGCTTGTCTCCTTTTGGAATAGCACAAGTAGAAAGGACAACGGAGTTAGGATTAACACGGTGGGAGGGTATTACAATGTAACAAAATACAAAAGGACGTGAAACTACACACTCGAACTGTTTGGTACATTCAATACTTTTAGTGCAATACTTACCTCCTGGATCTTTTATCTGACAAGCCTAACCCATTCTATCATTTAAGATCGTAGGGTCTTCTGAAAGGATATGCTGCCTCACAGCTTAAAGTTCATTTTATTGTCATGGATCAATGTTAAATTTCAGAAATTGAGACACTGGTGTGTTTTTTTTTATATAAACAACTCATTTTGATACAGCAACATGTTTAGAACATCAGAAAGTGAGGATACTAGTGTTGCAACCAGTAATCAGAGTTGTTGAGACCCATACTTAAAGTCAAGTAAACAAAAGTTTGCTTATTTAAATAAGAAACTGACATTGTTGAGACAAATGATAATTGTTCCTTGAAATATTCCTTTGATATTGGTATTTACTGTCTTTGTTTAAACAATTAAAAATGTATTTTTATATTAAATCTATAATACTGGGGAAGAGGAATGTGCTAGTAAGAACTTAAACTTACTCATGTTTTGATGGAACCACTGTCCTCTGGCAAATCTCTTCAGATCGTACCTTTAAATTGACCTTGTTTTGTACCTCTTGAGGTTGAAGCCTCTTGGCAATTACAGATTAACATTTTTCTAGAAAACTAAATGCAAATATCTAAGGTTTTGGAGTAGATTTGTAGCTCGGGTTGTGGGTGTTGAGGTTGGTTGGCTTGCTGAGCTGGTTTCTTGCGGACGACACCTTTGTCATCATTAAACGGACGAAATTAGAGGAGACACACAAACTTATAAACAACACACTCACTGGAATAAAATTCACCAGACAGGAGGAGAAGAACAAACAGCTCCCATTCCTGGATGTCATGGTAGAGCGCAAGACAAATGGGGAACTGCAAACAAAAGTACACCGAAAAGCCACATACACAGACCAGGTACTGAACTTCAACAGTAACCATCCCAGCACACACAAACGAAGCTGCGTGCGAACACTATTAAAAAAGGGCAACAACACACTGCAGCAACACGGAACTAGGTCAAGAGGAAGAAGAATACCTCTTCCAGGTTTTCAAGGATAATGGATATCCAAAAAACTGGGTCAGAAGATGCCTACATGAACAACATCAGAAAGATACCACACGCCCCGACACACTCATCACACTACCCTACGTCAGGAACACGTCAGAACTCGCCACAAGACTCCTACCACCGCTGGGCATCAGAGTGACACACAAACCCACATCAACCCTACGACAACTGCTCACCCGAACTAAAGACCCACTCCCTGCCATGGACAGGACCGATGATAAGATCCCCTGCAGTGACTGTGAGAAACACTACATCGGACAAACAGGAAGGAAACTAACAACAAGAGTATATGAACACCAACTGGCTACAAAAAGACACGACCAATACTCACTCATCTCAATCCACATGGACAAGGAGAACCACTATTTCGACTGGGACAACACAAAATCCTGCTCCTCTGATGCTGCTTGGCCTGCTGTGTTCATCCAACTCTACACCTTGTTATACCAAAATCCTGGGACAAGCTAGGCAGAGACAGGCACGAGAATTCCTAGAAGCCTGGCACTCCACGAAGCATGCTATCAAGAAACATATTGAACTCGACCCCATATACATTCCACTACAAAGGAAAACCGGAAGTGAGGCAATCCATCTCAACGGATTCCAGAGTTTTAAAAACCAGGCAGGAGAACACACCGATGCTTCATCGGAGGCTGCACTGAGGATGTTACCCAGCATGGTAACGAAACGTCTGTGAAACAAGAAACCAGCTCGGCGAGCCAACCAACCTAAATACAAATATGGTTCAGTTTCTCCCTTTCAGCTGCTGAATACAGTGTTCAGTACTACAACTTTTAAAGGTAGCCAATGTAAATTACCTATTTCTGGACCAAGAGTACTCTGTTTGGCATTTATTTTTAACAAAACAGTTTTCCAATATGGGAGTATGTAGAACAGGTCGGAGTGGATAATTTGGGATTGCATAGTGCCAAGACATGCAGAGATGCCTGTTAAGAAATGAAATCATGTGTCAGTGTTTACATAGCCAGATTGCTCTATTTGGGACACAAGACACTGATAACTCTGTGTGAGGAGAGGAGCACCTCCCGAATCACCACACTTTCTCCCTGGCTCCCATGCCCAACTGGCCACTCCCCTTCCCCAAACAGTCCAAAACATCATTCACTGTTCTTTTCAACACTATAATGCAGGATCAACAGCAATATCTCTTCTCAGAAGGCTAGTTCATGAAGGACAGAACTAGAGCCAGTCTTTATATGTTTTAATAAGTATTTGTTTATGCAATGGATCTCTAACCTCAACAACCTGTTCCAGTTTGGCTATTTATAGAGGCACAATGATTGCCAGTGAAAATCCTTTATCTTGTGTTTAATTGTATGAAGATGAAATTAGAAAAGCATCTTGTGTGTGGACTGCAGTAGTACTGTCTCTCCTCTAATAAAGGGGGGGATATGATTGGATGGAATATGGTACCATGAACTCAAATGTTTCTTTTACGTTGTTAGGTTCTGAAAGAAGTGAAACGCATAATTTTCCCTGATGTTGTTGGATATAATTTGGCAGGCAGGAGTTACATTTCTCGTCTTTTAAAAGGCAATAGTACAACTTATGGCGAAGAACACTTTTTTAAAAAAAATTATTTTGCTCCCTGCTATAAGATGGTCAACTGTTGTTCTATGTTTGTATTTTACCAGTAAATATAAATTATGATTAGACACAGCTATCCATGCCAAAAACTGTAGCACTTCTATTAATTCAAATTTTCTAAATCAGCAGAGATTGGGGATCAACTTGATCTTGCGTGTTTTTCATGTATTTGTGCACTGAACTATTGCAGCAGATCAGCTTAATGATTTTAAAAATTTCTATTCCAATTAATTCCAAGGCTAAGATGTAGGATGCTTGATGCCCCGCAAGAAGAAGCCTAGCCAATCCAAGAAGCCCCCTCTGCAGTTTTTAGAGAGTCCACAAAAAGGAGAGAAGTGCATACAAGTCGTGCCTCTTCAATCTGCGGTAAACCCGCGTCATGTATCCTGTGTACCAGTTGACCAGAGATCGTCCTTTACTTGGGTATGTTGTTTTTTTTTTGCACTTTTTAACATAAGAATACATGACCGGTCCTGACTACAATACAGTCTGATCCCCTAGGCACCTCCAGTGCCTTTACAGCATCGGCTTTGATTGTCACATTATGACAGAGCATTTTGATGGGCACGGGCCTATAGCATTCAATTTTTGGTTACTGTGTTCAGACCCACATTGTCACATATTGATGTGATGAAACCTGCTGTCCCAAATCTGTACTTAACAGCCAAAAACTGTCAATTAAGTAAATGTTTGCCCCTTTCAAAACTATAAAGTAGGTGTGTGTGTATGTGTATTTCCCCTGGACAAATGTAACTGAAGTTCTACGTTATTCCTTCTAAAATCCATGTTCAACAAGTATGTATTTGGATCATTTACTGTGGTTTTTTTTTTAATAATCATCCCAGGTGTATTCTCTTTGAAGATGAAACTTTTGCTAACTGATATTAAGGTAAATTAATAGCTTTGTGAGGGGGAAGGTACAAATGGTCCTAAAATATTGTGTGATCTAACATCTATGTTTCTTTTGAGTCTAATGCATAGTCAGTAGACTGCAAAATCAAGGCCCTGTCTCTGGTGCACCGCTGTGGGAGTGCTGCAATGTTCAAGGGTGGATGTAAAAAATTGCATTAGTCTATAGAGAAAAAGCAACTAAGTTATTCCCAGGATCCTAACCAGTATTTAACATTCAATTGTCTCTCATATATCCTACAACGATGACTACATTTCAAAAGTACTTCCTTGGCTGTAAAATGCTTTAAGATGTAGGGTTAGTTATGAATTATGCTATATAAATTCTTTTTTTCTTATCTTTTTCCAGGTGTTACCACAGTTTGAGTTTTTGGACACAACACGAGAACTACGCAAATGTAACAAATCTGATCGCACAACACAACATAACCACAAAAAGAAGCAGAGTACTGCTCTAAAAGCAGGAGCTGAGAGAAAAGTGCATAATAACTTTGTGCCTTTGACCTTTCTGGGCTGTGGTGCATTGCCTGTTCGGAAGAAGAACCACCAAGTTCATTCTGGCACCTGTCAGAAAGTTGGAACTCCTAAACAAACTCGACTACCAACAGATAAAACTTCACTTATGGGCATCACCTCGCAAGGATTTAAAGATGACAGTCTCTTTGGAAGCGTTCAAAATATAGATGCCCTGGGTCAGAAGCTCAAGTGTCGCCACCGAGGATCTGTGGCAAAAGGCTTGTTTGGCAAAATAAACAGTGTCAAAAGTTCAGTAGGGGACATGCCCCACAGTTCGTTGAAATGCTCCAGTTTCAGTTCTCCATTGTATTGTGTCGACCACCAAAGTCATGCAGAGTTTGTTGGTAAGGAGCTCTCCCTTGCTGATCACTTTGTGCAGTCAGCTGATGAGGATTTCATCCTGCCACAAGTTAGCACTCCCACAATCGATAGCTTACTTCCAGTGGGTAGTTTGAGAGGAAATGTTAATCTATTAAGGGACAGGACACCAGACATATCCAATAGGATCTCTTTCCAAAGCAGACCAGAGGACTGCTTAGACACAAATTATGGACTAAATGATTTTTCTGAAGTATGCCTACCTCCAGAGGTTTGGGTACAGGACACTCCAGAACATGAATATGGACTCAAAGCGACCTGGCGAAGACGGCCACACATTGTGCAGTATCTGAAAGATCGTGGAAAACTAACCAGTAGTGATTTGCTTGTTGGCAAATAAAGAGGATATTTGACCAATTTGGGGAAAAAAAAATGCAAATAGTAATAAGTTTTTCACTTTAAATGGTATTGTCATTTAATTTAGTTACTGTTTACTACTTATAAAGAATATCTGGGAAATTGGCTGACTGAAGCTACCTGACAGCATTATCCTTTGACCTGTCCATGTTGCTGTGTAGCTCATTGAGACTCAGAATTCTTTAACGCTCATTGACATTTTATATTTTGAACTCAATCCTCAACCGTGGCATCTTCTGTGTTAGTGCAACATTGGGTCCAGACTTCATTTAAGTATCTAAACGTAATATAGAGTCAGATGTGATTTTGTGGAAAAGAACTGTAATTGGCTCATGCCCACAACAACTATGCTGTATATCTTTCCGAGTAATGTGTTTCAACTGATCATCCCACTATGCAATTAACAACACTTTTTTGCTTTTGCTCCAGATTTTTAGAATAAAAGTCATTACTGTCTGTAAACTATAAGAATTCTACCTCCATTGATTTGGTTGATTTCAGATGAGTCCATATTGATTTGTAGGTCATAGCATAAAATGACCTATAGCCTGGCAAAAAAAAGTTTTGACAATTTGAATTCAATTGAGTGGTTAATTCAAGAAATGGAAATAATTTATCTGATAACTGTTAGATGGGAATATATGAAAAATATGTTCCTCTACATGAATCCCTCTATCTTTTCCTCTGCTCCATACCAGTAAAATGAAAAATGACAAGAAAAACTGGGAAACAGAGAGGATTAGCTACATTTTTAATGTTATGAATTTCTCTCTTTTTAAAACTGTGTTCAGAGGTAGGTGGGTGAATAAAACAACTGACCATCTTTACAAACTTATTCCTATATTTTTAACTGGATATTTTAAGCTGTTTTATTATTATCTCTAAGTGTCCTGACAAACCTTTATTTATCCAGGGTATTCAATGTGAGGCTACAATCTCCGACCCTTAACCCAGATCACTCCACCCTATATGCACAAGGATTTCTGATTGCTGGTATGTCCTCTGAACAGGTTCACTTGGCAGTTTTGATAGTTTGTAGTTCTACTGTCCTTTTGGGGCAGAATTAGTGTTAACACAGATTCTGAATTTCCACCTTTTTAGAAACACTAATTATTAGGAATGTGGTGTTAAATTGTACACGTGTCTTTCTGTGGACTAGATGTTGCCAAATGTTTGAATACTCTGCAACAAATAAGTAGAAAATTCTTGAATAGAAAAGGATTTTCTCCATTCCACTGCTACTTCGAGAAGTGCAGAGAAAGATTTTGGGACATACAGCAGGCCAGAACTGGAGTGTAAAGATTTCAGAAGGTAGTGGTTTTGAAGAAAGTGACAGGGTTAAACATAATGCAGACACGTTTTGAAACTGACACATTGTTTTTACGGTCTTAGTGAAAATTTGTAGCTTCGATTGTGGATGCAGTTATTTGTTTGCTCGCCTAGGTTGTTCCATGCAGACGTTTCGTTATCATTTTACGCAACATCATCAGTGTGACCTCTAATCGAAGCTTTGGTGTTCTGCTCCATTCTGAATTCGTAGGATCCTCCAGTGTGGTGGGTCTTGTCACTTCTGGTTCTGTTTTTTTTTTAAGTAGCGGTCTGTATACGGGGTCTATTTCAATGTGTTTGTTAATGGAGTCCCGTGTTGAGAACCAGGCCTCCAGAAATTCCCTTCTGTGTTGAACAAGCGAACAACAGACATGCAAGGGACCCAGACTACATTGACTGAAGAGTGAAGTAACCCACCATTCTCCACTTAAATTCCTGGAACTACCTACAGTGATCGTAAATTGTATGCAAGGAAATTAGTGTAACCGTAAGTATGGGTTATGGACTTCATAATACCTCTAACCACAATGAGTCCAGCACTATACTATCCTCCATTTCGGCCATGTCAGTTCAGGGAAAGATGCACTGACCTTGCTGGAGCTGAAGTGTCGATTCACTAGAATCGTACCGGGACGAGAAAATGCAGGTCACATGAACATGGTTTGTATTGTCATAAGTTTAGAATGCAGAGAGGGCCACATAGTTGAGCAGCGCAAGCTGGAGGTTCGTCTGCACAACAGGGAAGTCGTCACAAACCATGAGGATGCTCCTGAGTACATTGTCTGTATACTATATAAACGTTATCTAGCGATTGGGATGATTCCAAGATTCAGGCTGTTCCAGACAGGACCTGGCGTTACCTTTTTACTGAAGAAACTGCTCCAAACCAAGGCTATAATTAGAAAGGCCCTGGCTGAATGGGGTGACGTGTCGAGGTAGGGAGCAGCGGGAGGACCAATGGGAATGGTTTTTGTTGGAGGGTACGTTGCTAGGGCCCTGGGCTCCTGGAGTGAGTGGAAGTTCAGTGACGGAGCGGGAGCGGGAGACAGGAGCGGCCGCCAGCACCATAGCAACGGTGCCCAAAGATGTCCTATTACAGTGTCAGGTAGAGAAAGCGTTGCGGGCTGGCTGGGAGGGTGAGAGGAGTAGAGTGGGTAGTGAAGGGGAAGGGCAGGCTGTTAATGGCTGGGTATCCTGCACACTCGACAGCTCTGCACCGAACTCGCCCTTGCATTGGGCATCGCTAAAACTTGGCTATGCAGGAGTTTCAATCGGAGGTGTGTACTCCCCACTGGGTAGCAGCATTTTGAGCAAAATCCGCTCCTAATCTCCAGATGCGTGCATTTATCCACTGTGCGATGTTCGAGACTGTGTCACTTTCACACATCAGAAGGCACGGCGCTTTTTAGTACAACAGTCCTTTTTGAATACTGCTGCTTTTAAAATCTAATTTTGACGTGTATAGTTTTTAATCGTCGGCACATAAATCCCGCATAACAATCTGGTAGTCTGAAGATGGACATTTTCCCCTATTTTCAATTATCTTGTTTTACTAGTAGCAAAGTTCCTTTGTACAACACTTCTGCAGCTGTGTTACGTAGATTTTAAAAAAATCTTCTGTACTGAGTTTAAATAAGACACTGTTAACGAATCTATTTGTAATGTGCTCTAAATGGTTTGTAAATATTAATCTCCTTTTTGTACCGAGTTATTTTAACTCGTATAATTTTCAAATGGTGAATTTTATTTTGGGTCTTACGCTCTGTGAGGAATCGCTCATTTTGCCCGTGTGTTTTTGAACTTTCAAATTTTGTCTCCTTCAATGTTCACCTTTTGACGTTGCTCGCTAGTTGTTTTCACTCTGTTGCTATCAATGGAAGTTGTTGAATATGATGTACGCTATTGATGCTGATATACGTCAAGTTCATGGTCTTGTGGCTCAGCTGCTGTCCTTGGAAATTACTGTGAATTGTAGCGCCATTATTCATGTTTAAGATTTAGTTACCTACATTGTAGAAACAAAAGTTGAACTTTTTTATTTTTATGCTATTTCCAGGGATAGACAGCTGCAGAATATTTCAGATAGTTGTTATAATAATTGACAATTTTATGGGCTGTTTATGTTCAATTTCAATATGCCAAAATAAACTGGAGCTGACTAAAGATATTTTATTGTGAAAGGATGCTGTGCTTCCATTTGTAATATTTCCATTCTACAGTTAATGATTTATTATGACATTGTTATTGTTGCAAATGCTTTACATCATAAATGTATCCCTAGTAATGCCACTTATTGTGATGCCATAACCTGTACTGTACAAGGTATTAAGTGTATTTCCTGTATAAATAAGCACACAAATTGTTTTCTTCATAATATGAGAAGAATGACCAATGTCACAATGGTTTCAAAGCTCTGATACTTTGTGAAGTCATGAAGCAACTTTCAACATTGGAGATAACAAAGGAACTAATGTTTACAGTATGAATTACATAAACTACAGCCCAGAGACAATTGGACCAATTGGTCTTTGCCAGTGATCATGCTCAATACAAGCATCTTCAAGCCCTATAATCTAACCTGTTCACTCTTGCGTTCTTATCTGTTTATTTCTTTAAATACATCTATACTATTCAACTCAACTCCTTGTGATAGCATGTTCCATCTAAAGATTTAATTTGGGACTGGCAACAACAATAGTTTACATCTGTATTGTATATTTAACATAACTTACTAAGGTGTTTCACAGGACCATTTTAAAATTAAGTAAGATACTTGGTCATGTAAGCATATATTTGTTTTGATGACCAAAAGCCAACATTGGCTTCAAGAAGTTTCACATAGGAGGAAAGTGAGGTGTAGAGGTTTAGTGAATTCCAGAGCTTGCTAACTGAAGGTGTGGCTATCAGTGACAGAGCAATTATTATGGAAAATTAACAGAAGAACATACAAGGTAGAAGCAGGAATAGTCTATATGGTCTTGTCAAGCCAGCTCAGCCACCCAGCACCCTTATGGACTTCATCACGGAGATAACACAAATCTGTTTATCCCAGATTTAAATATTTTCAACAGTGCAGAATCCACAACTGTCCAGTGTAGAGAATTTCAAAGATACATTAAGCCTTTGAGAGAAGAGATTTCTTCATTTCTTTTTCTTAAATGATTGACTCCTTATCTTGAAACTCTGACCCCCTTGCTTTTGTTTTCCTAGCTGGCAGCTCAAATGTAGTGTCCACCCTATTGAGCACCTTAAATTTTGGATGTTTCAAAACAATCTGCTCTTCTTTTATTAATTCGGGAGAATATAGGCTCAATTCAGTCAGCCTGTTATCGTAGGACAACCCTCTGTTCCTAGGGACAATCTAGTGAACCTTTTACTGTACTGCCTCTAATGCACATGTGTATTTCTTTAAATGGTGAGAATTAAGGTGCAGAAAGTATTCCAGATGTGGTCTCACCAAAGCTCTATGCAATTGTAGCAAGATATCTTTAGTGTAAGGGGGTTGTAGTACAAGAATAAAGACCATTTGCTTTCCAGATTGCATGCTAACTTTGCATTCCTTGTACGAGCACAATATTAACACATTTTGTAGCTATTAGAAATACAGTGCCTTTTTTCAACCAAGGTGAATAACCCCACACTTCCCATATTAAATTCCATCCATCTCCATGTTGCTACTCCCTTAATCTGTCTATTCTCTTGCCACTGAGTCATCGTCAAAACTTGTAGTCTTAATGCAATGATGATATGAAAAACAAAGTAATAACTTTTTAAAATCTCATCAACTGATACCAAAATCCACAGTTTTTCTTTAAAAAGAGAAAAACAGTGAGCTGGGACATTTTAAAATGGTTGCCAAACTCTCAGGAGGATATAAAGGAATATCTACATATGGATATTAAAACCCATCTTCTGGAATGTATATCTCACAATGAGACATTCAATTGTTTTTGCATGTTTTCAACTGCAGGTATTGCCTGTATTACAGGTATTACCACCTGTGGCTCAATTTCAGCCTTTGGTGACTGTCTGTGTGGAATTTGCACGTTTTCACTGTGTCTACGTGGGTTTCCGCTGGGTGCTCCGGTTTCCTCCCACAGTCGAAAGATGTGCAAGTCAGGTGGATTGGCCATGCTAAATTGCCCTGTAATGTCCAGGGATGTGTGGGTGTGGTGCTTTATCCATGGTTAATGTGGGGTTGTGAGGATGGAGTGGGTCTGGGTGGGATGCTCTTGGAAGGGTTAGATTTGATGAGCTGATGGCCTCTGTTTGCATTGTAGAGATTCTATGATTACTGGAACGAAGACTTGATTCCAAAGATGGATGTGTTAATGGTTAGCTTTTTTGAGCAGATGGTTAATGACAACAGAGTTAAAGGAGATATGGACGTTTGGAGAGAGGACTCTTTATGGTCCTGTATCAGCTTGAATGAGGGCCAGTTTAGTCTGAATTGGATTAAGGGAGCAGAAGTTGGTCTTATAAACAGCATTTACTCAAAGAGGACATTGCAGGAGATAGAGGGAAAAACTGGAGAAAGAACCCAGTTCAGGGTTTGGGCAAAGAGTAGAGTTTGAGAGAGTTTTTCTGATGGGTTCCTGGAGAGAAGGGAACTGGTAGAGCTTTCTGATTGAATAGTCTCCAGTTCGGTGTTAGAGAAGCCCATGAGCTCCTTGCACTTTTTTTGTTGGCGGTATGGGTAGAGCAAAGTTTTAGGAGATCATCTGCAGTCGAGAAAAGAAACTGGGAGTTTCCAGGGTGATCCTAGAATTGTGAACAATTTTTTAAAAACCCTGCCAGATCTGGTAGTGTTGGGTGGCCGTACCCTTTCAAATATACCTCCCTTTGACTTCAGAGATGAGGGCAAGACAACATAAACAGCTGAGGGGCTGGGGGCTAGCACATCAAAGATAGAGGTGATGGTATAGGTCAGTAAACCAGCTGCTGCCGAAATGTGATGTATGGAAGGCCAAAGCTAAACAGAAAGTGCAATTATAGTAATTAGAAGATAGCTTTTTCCAAGTGTAGACATTGGGAGGAAGTAGTGTTGCGGTGTATGGGTTTTGAGTGATATAAGTAATTGATCAGAAATGGCCTTACCTGTGGTCTCTCAGTTTCAGTCACATGAGATGGCAAGGTCAAGGGAGCCATAATATGGGTTGGGGACTTTAGAGGGAGAGATTTTGGGAGGATAAGAGGACTGTGAACTTGAAGGAAAGAGAATGATGAGTTGAGATGGAGACTTGACTAAAACATATTTATCAGTTTTATCCATTTATTTCATTGTATTTGTCATTTGCAAGGATGAATCTTAAAACACACAATTGGGTTAAACCAGACCATGTGTATAATCTTAAAATTTGAAACACAATTTCAATGCGCAAAGGATAGAAGGAAATAACCAGGTTCCTGTTGGCGTTGATTAATTGTGTGGATTTCTGTAAGTTGCTGTTATATTATAAAGGCCATTGTGATATTAGGTGTTATTTGTGCACTCTAAATGCTGCACAGAAATTGTCATGTCCAGCAATGTACTATTGAAAGTTAGTTACCCAGTCTGGCTGATTTGAGACTTATTGTATCATTGTGGACATGACTACCACAGCATGCTTTTTCCAGTCCATTTTCCTAAGTGTTCTTAAATTCTACATTAGTGTTCATCTTATAATAGACTTTGATTTCACGTTTTAAAATGCATATATTTTTCAGTCATGGAAATTGGAAGAAAAAATAAAGTATTTCCAATGGTACTTTCCTGCAGATTTTACTTATACAGTTGTCCATTAAGTAATGTCTATGCCATTGTTGCCTAATGTGGATCATTGGCTGATTGTACTCCGTATGTGGATTTTCATTCTGTTGTGGCTTTGCAGCATCTGCCTCAAAGACTAATTGTAAGTTTTAGTCACCTTGCTCCCTTTCTTCCTTACTGTAGCATTAGGAATATATGAACTTTAGCAGCTCATGGAGAGAAAACGCTGTGCAATAAATC